CCGGGGGGGGGGGGGGTTAAAATCTTTTTTTTCCCCTTTTTTTTTTTTTTTTTTTTTCCCCTCCCTTGTAGATGAAAACAGCTTGTCCTATGTAAAGAATCGTGTTTATTCGCTCGGGCAGAGTCGCAAAAGCGCCCGTTCCTGCCTTGCGAGAGCATCGCTGCTTTACAGAGCGATGGCTACAGGGCTGCCGGCTCCGGCTCTGCTCCTCGGCAAGCTTACGCGATTATCAGCTCTGCTCCCAGGCTTTTTTTTTTTTTTTTTCTTTTTTCCTCCTCCGCTGCACATAATGACATTGCTCTCTCCGCCGGCTTCACCCTCTCTTTCCGCTCCCCGCTTTCGGAGCAAACCCCGTTCCCAGCGCTATTTCTGGGGCGGGGGTATCTCCCCCTTCGCCGCCGCCATCGAGGCAGAAGCCCAGGTACCCGAGATCCGATTTCACAACAAAAACATCTCAATGTCACCTACACCGAGAAGGTGGCTTATTGGAGCAAAATGCGAGGCATTTTAAACCCATTAGGCATCTCCCAGATGCAAATCCAATGGTGGAAAGAGAAAGGCTCTATTAAGACCCGAGGGCTGACAATTAGATTATAGTCCAATTGCCAGTGGATAATGTGCTAAAAGCTTTCCCGCTTAGTGTAACTCCTCGCTGAAAATTATTCACACTTTGCAGGCTACCGCACTCCTGAACGGGAGACGTCTTTGTCCACGGAGAGCGCGAACGGCCGGGCAGAGCTGAACGCACGCCCGGACACACGGACACCCGGACACACATCCGTCCTGATCAAAAGCCGTACCAGCAGACCTGCTTCTGGTGCAAGCTTACGAGCGCCCGCACACAAACCTGCGCATCCATAGGCGGGTAATCACCTATTCAAACGTATATATACACTGTGTGTACACACGTCGGCACGTCAGCCGGGTGCGATTAGACTTTTACGCCCCTTTCACGTGCAGAAAATGCACTGTATTTTCCATATAAACCTAAAGTTTACGCTTAATGGAAGCGATGACATTTTTATTAAAAAAAAAAAAAAATCCGAGTTTGGGTACTCCACAGATTTTTTTTTTTTTTTTTCTGTTTAAAACAGTCACTAAAAGCTGACGAAATTTTCACTAAGGGTTTGTACTCTTAACGCTCTGCAGCTATAAGTTGAAGCATCACCGAGCGGTGCAAGACTCCGGATGCGATCATTTAATTCAAATATTGCAAAATCTCCTTAGGTTTTAAGATTAGCCACCGAGAAAGCTGCAGCAAAAAGTTATTTTTTTCTGGCCTGAGCTTATTAGCACCCCGACTAGCCACCGAGGTCGTTATCCAATGCAATTACTTCTCCCTCTGGCAGGCAGCACGTTTTAGCCAGCCGGGCTGGTTTCCCCGAGTGCAGGCAGCGAACAGGCAGGGGTTGAGGAGTTTGCGGCTGCCTGCCCTCGCCGGGGGGGAGGAAAGCCTTCCTCCCCCCCCGGCGAGGGCAGGCGCTTGCACCCCCGGGAAGGGGATGCTCCAAGGCGGCCGGCCAGCATCTCCTCCAGCCCCAGCGGGTCAGGGGGGTCTGCCCTGGACAGGAGGGGGTCCAGGGCAAATTTGGGCTCCCCCCATAGCGAGATGGGGTGGGGAGAGGCAGCAGGGCCTTTCTGCCTCCATGCAGTACGTCTGCCCCCTTTCACATCACGTGTACCAGAAGTCATGAGCCTTTTTTACTACCTTTTTAAAAAAAATTAACACATAAGTTCGTCTTGCTCACCTTTCCCAATTTCATTTAATTGAAAAACCAAAGGAAAACAAGTCATCCCCAACAGCACTCGGGACAGCCAAGACCTGCGCAACACACCGTGCATCTGCAGTGCCCAAGCGCCCGCTTTGGATTTTGGGGTTTGAAGCAATAGTCAGTGGTGTTACAAAAAGCCACATGATCTTTAACACTCTATTTTTACCCACCCATTTCATGCTCAATTTCAAACCAAGGTCCTTAAGAGCCCTTCCACCTGTTTTGCAAAGTCAGAGGAAACATGCATTGAATTAACTGGCAGAACGAAGCAGAAAGGCTGGCATGTTGGAGGGGTGGATAGGTTCAGAAAACTCCTTCACAGGTCTTAAAAAAAAAAAAATCAGAGAATACAAAGTTCTCTATTTATGGTCCAGCTACTTCATCGTATGGGACTGTGTTTCAATGGCTTGCAAAAGGATCTGTTTGCCTGCTTTCTTTACACAAAAAGCATTTTTAATTTCTTTACACATAAAGCATTTCAGAACACTCTTCAAAATTTCATAAATCATAAAACATGACTTGCTTACTTAGTGGATGGGAATATTTTTCAACATGAAAAATGTGTGCGTAGGTATACATATCTACACACATATGTCTGCAGCACCATAGATTTAAACTTGCCCAGTAGTGCTTTTCTTAGTTGCCTTCCATGATTCAATACAAGCAACCCACCATCTGCCGCAGCGTGAGATTTACTGTAAGCTGAAACCACTGCTTTGGACCAAAATTTTAGTGCAAAACAAGACTTCTGTATTTCAGTGCTGATTTTAAAGACGTAAAAATGTATGTCAGTGATGTGGAAGCTGTTTGCCAGAGCATCTGAAAAATCTCTTCTACTTCATGACTTTTGAAGTCTCACTGAAGTCATTATGTCCTGACAAGCATACGTACGTCTGTCTGTTTGTCTGTGCTAGAGATAGGACTGAGCTCGTTCTTGACTTTCAACTTGAAGATGGAGCAGCAGTTCCTGGCAGACTGTAAGCTTGTGATGGTTCCCTCTCCTTTGATCAGGTACTGTGGTCCTTCCGAAATTTGGGGTTTGCAGTTTCCAGGAGAGCTGCCCCTGCAATTGTTTGCTGGTTGAAGCAAATCTCTGGCTACTGAGTGATGTGACTGTGCAGTGGGACTGCTTGGAAAATGTATTCAAGCTCTTGGAATTGTATCAACTTTTTTTTTTTTTTTGTATGGGGGACAGGTATTTTATGTGAAAATGTTTTAATTTAATTTTCTTTCAAGCCTTCTTGACTTCTTTCATATTTCATATTTGATTTTCAAAGAATTATTCAATAAATCATCACTTTTGAGGTTTATTACATTGGTCTTTTGTTCGCAATTTAAACATTTTTGATCATTGTGTATTTAAAAGACACAAATAAACAATACATTGCCAATAAAAAGAATTTAAAACAAACTCAGCTAAATAAAAAAATCTCAAGGAGCGTTTTTTGGGTTAAAAAAAAAAATCAGACTTTACACAGCACTCAATCTTAAGATGATCCCATGCGCATTAAAAGAAAGGGCAATTTTTTCCCTCAACTTTTGCAGGCCTTGGATTGGTACGAGAATTTCAGAGTTGCCTGTAATGGCGATTTGAAAATAGGAATAGCGGGAAGTGTGGGGAAGGATAGAAACCTCAAGAACTAAGAAAAACTTTTCTGGAAAATGCTAAAACTTTTTTTTTTTTTTTTTTAAATAGAAGAGTCTCTGGTTTTGGGTCTCCGTTTCGAGATGTCTTGGGTGTTACTTACTTCATCTAGATTTATAGTTCCTTGACACTTCTTTTGTTGTGTCCAAAGTTTTGTCCCAAAATATCCAAAGCTAAGAACCTAAAATTAGAGACTGCCTTTGAAACTGCTGACCTCTGCATATTTTCCCTCTGTGAACATACAGCAGTAGGAATACGCCCAAAGACAACCAGTTTTGCTTTGAGGGCCAGTTGTAGAAAGAATTAAAAAAAAAGACTATCAGCCATTTTCCAAAAACTTCAGTAGCGGAAGCTTTTCCGTTTTTGCCCAGTGAGGCATCTACATTTTGTGTCCCACATCTCTCCTGGCAGATGTAAAAGAAAATGGTAGTTTAAAAAAAAAAAAACAAACCAAAAAAAAAACCCGAAAAAAGTGAGAAAACAAGGAGACGTCAGGTGAATGTAGAACAAAGAAGATTTAATTTCTGGCCTAGTGAACTCAAAGTGAGAAGCAGCGTCGTGATTTACAACTCTCCCAGACCATACAGAGCAGCTTGTAATAAAGTGTGTTATATGGTCTGGGAGCAGCACTGCTGTCACCAAGAAACTGCTCTAGCAGCCTTCTGCTGTCTGAAACCTTACAGCCACGGTGGCAGAAACCTAGCGCGCGCAGATAGGGCCGCGCTGCCGGATCCATCAGGCACTGCAGATGGGGCTGCCAGATATTTCTGGCTTATTTCCACGCTGTAAGGACAGAGGGAGAAGCATTCCCACACCACGGTGCGGTGAAAGGCATCGCTTTTGCTTATTTTAACAGTATGGGGAACAGGATTGGGGGTGTTCTGGCATGAAAAGGAGGTTGTTGTGTTTTTTTTTTTTAAGCCTTCAATTTCGAAAGTATTCAGGATTAGGGCTTGGAAAACATATTTCAGTACCCATAACATACCGCTGATTTATCTGGCAACAGCTAAGCTTGCAGAGGGAAACTAAGCTTATTTGAAATAACGTCGTCGTAAGTAACATCGGGGGAAAGCAATTCGCAAGTTTGTGTAATTCCCAGCATACGCCTTGCTGGAAGGCTGGCACCGAAAGGGTTTTCATTTCAGCAGCGCGAAGACAACTGTATGAGCTAAGCGCTTCCTGCCCTGCCCGCGCGGGTTTGCAGCGGCAGCCAGCTTGCTTCCATTATTTATATCAAAGCGAGGAAGCCAATCAACCTGGAATTTGCACCATAAAACGTGGCTAAAAGCCAGGTAGGTTGCCACCAGCTTTCAGGCGATCAGAGGTGAAAATCTGGCCCCTTTAAAGTTAACAGTTCATTTCGCGTGGATCAGAGAAGAACTTGAACCAATACTTCAGTTCAACCTTACCAAGCTTCTCACGGATTTTTAGGCTGGTTTTAGAGCTTAATTTGGGGACTGTAGTACAGCATTCGTGATGGATGCTAAAGCTTTCAGCAATAACGATTGTGGTAATGAAAATACAAATCAATTAGGCTTCTGGGTGCTGTAAAAACATTTCCCATCAACAGACATGAGATTATGATGGTTTATATTCAATATAAATGAATGTGTATTTTTGCTAATGAAGAACATTTATAATCTCATAGTGCCTGCACCTGTTAATTTAAAATATGGCTAAATGAGAGTAAATAAAGTGTTAGCTTCAAGTATTCTTACAGCATACAAAGTTGGGCTGGTTTTTTTGAGATACAGGAAAGGTTTACAAAATTTAACACAATTATGACTGCTATTACTGTGAAACGCAAATGGTACAAACGTAACTCAACCAAGGGAATAATATCTTGCTGTACATGTTGAGTAAATAACCAGTAAAAAACATAGATACAGTTTACAAATGCTTATAAGTCATGTAAATTGGATATTTTAGGGATAAAAACAATTGGAAGTAAAAAGTGTGAAAACAGCTCCTTCCCACTAAAAAAGAGACACCGCTTACTACCTATCATGCATCTTATTTTTTCCATGGCAGAGACATCACTGTTCCTAGGCTTTTATTTTGATGGTTCCTTGTTACACAAGGATTGAACTACATTTGCAGTCCGGTGTGCTCTTTTGGCCCAGCATTAGGAAGGTAAATGGGGAGCTTTTTAAAGACTGCCAGGCAGAAGGGACTCCTCTTGTGCAAGGGGACCATCAGGGGAGAAAGACAGCGGACCCGACCCTCCACCACTGGCCTGCCCCAACCTCTGATGAGGCTGCAAGGTCTTCGGAGCAGGAATTGGCCTTCTGTATGGCTCTAGCTACCCAATACAGCCGAATCCCACCACAGTGTAGTTGATTAGTAGCAAAGCTGCCCTGACTTACTACTCTTGATTGTCTTCCCCATCTGTCAGTCAGGAGAGCACAGGGTACGCTTTCAACCCTATCCACTGCTGAGGTC